GAAGGAGGGGGGGGGAGAAAGGGGTGAGCGGTGGGAGGAGGGAGGATGGGGGGGACGTACTGACTGTCGTACCGGCTAGAGCGGTCATCTGCGCGAATGGTTAGCAGGCTTTGACTGGGGACAAGGGTTGACGTACTTGTTCAGCAGATGTTGCTGGCATTTTGGTTCTATTCTGTGGTAGAATGGGAGAAGGGAGAGGTGAGGTGAGGAGAGTGTATGCGTCGTCGTCGTCGTCGTTGACAGTGGCAAGTCAGGTGAAATCGCGAGCTTGCGCGTCCCTGAATGATTATGTAATGCTATTACCTAATATGGTGCATATGATGGCCCGATGATGCAAAGTTGAACCATATGCGACAACCAAATGGATGACTGATACTATGATACACTCACATTCTCATCCTCCTCTTCACCGCTTCCAGTCCTCGCAATACAGCAACAGCACCCAATGACCTCCCCTCAGGTAACGCTCAATCCCTCATTCTCAGCTCTCGGGCCATTCCCTCAGCACGCAAGGGAACAACATTTCCTTTCCCCGGCATTCCCTTTTCCTGCTTCTCGACCTCCGCTGTACTCGGAGATTGGAAGAGGGAGATGGACCTCTGCCCTGGCTGATGGGGGGGAAGTAGGCTGGAGCAGCGTCTGGCTAGAAGAAGGGGAATTGGCACTTAGCTATCCTCAAGTCAGGTGCGTCAACACTTGCGATTGGAAAGAACTAGCTGATGTGAGAAGGTGGAAAGAACTTCGCTCAACTGCGGGTTGGGCAGCGTTGCAACATCATTCTCTGCTGCATACGACCCTTTCCCTCCCCGCACTCTCAAGTTCCTACACACTAGAACTCCGGGTCACGCAAGCGTCGTTCTTCTGCCTCCTCCCGCGCGAGAGGAACCACACAGACACAGACAGCGTAGAATGGCATCATGCGAACATATACGCCCTGGCGCACTACCCGCCTAGTCCTTTCCCCCTCCTCCCTTCCCCAGCAAGGGAGTACGACCTATACATCTCCGCAGACTACGAGATCCGGCTATTTGGCGACCCACATGCAAGTACTGCCGGGGACGTACCAGTGACGCGGATAGGCGTCTCTGCCGTTCTGAAGGAATTGACCCAGGGCCCGCAGGCGTGGGGGGAGGAAGACGTCGTCCCTGATGTGGTTGGTGGGTGGGCGTTAGGGCACGCGTTCGGCCTGGGGCTGAGAGGGGGGGCGGAGCGTGTGAGGCTCCTCCGTGTGAGCTTAACTGACTGCCCAGGGCTGCAGCTACAGCTATCCCCCAAGGAAGAAAGGTGGACGCTCTCCCCGCTGCAAGTACGCGTGCTGCCCGTTCCCTTCCTGCAGATCTCTTCTCTGCCACCCTCGGTCCATGAGCTGGAGTTCGACCTCCATTTCTCTTCCTCAGGGGAAGGGGAAGGGGGAGAGTACACGTACACCATCCGCCGTTCACTCCCTCTCCGGCACCGGAGGGCTTGGTGGGAACATACATCGCACGAGCCTTTGCTGGCAACCTACTTCCTCTCCGGGCATCCTCAGGCGTTCCTCGCTCTCCCGCCTCTCCACCCTCACCCTCACCCCCAGCCCCACCCCCAGCCCCCGCTCCTCCTAGCACTGCACGGCGCCGGCGTCTCCCTCTCATCTCCCTTCTGGCCCGCAGCCCTAGATCGCCAAGCGCACAGCTGGGCCTTATTCCCTTCAGGCGGCACGGAATGGGGCTTAGACTGGCACGGGCCCTCGGCACAAGATGTTTGGGGTTGTGCAGGTTCCTTCCGTTCGCTCCTCTCTCCCTCAACTTCCACTTCCACTTCTGCTCCTCGTCAGTGGGCAACCTACGCCCCCGGGGAGAAGACAGTATTGATAGGCCACTCAAATGGCGGTCAAGGCGTTTGGTACCTCAGCTCGCGATACCCCGACCTAGTCCGCTCCTCCCTCCCGGCCTCAGCCTGGCTCACACCAGCACACTACGTCCCCCTGACCTTTTCCCGCTCTGCGCACTTCCTCGATCCCTTCCTCCGGGGAATCCTGGACTCAGCCCTAATGGGCGAGGGGAACGACCTCTTTCTCTCTAACTTGCTTGGGTCCAATGTGCTCGCTCTCCATGGAGGGGGGGACGAGAATGTCCCCGTGTGGATGACACGGAAGGCTGTTGGGCTCGCTAAATCCTGGGGCGCCAAAAGAGTCGAATATGACGAAATAGAGCGAAAAGGACATTGGTGGGACGAGGTATTCCGTTCCCCTCGCGCAAGGGCATTCCTTGATCAGGCACTCAACCCCCATCGGGAGGCTAGGGAGGTTCCGGAGAAATGGACACTTACGGTTCAGGACCCATTTGAGGCGGGGGGGATGTTCAACTGGTCGATTGATGAGCTCCTTCTCCCTGGTAGGCTGGGGAGGCTTTCTGTCCACCGGGCGCAGGGGGAGGGCGAGGTGCAGGTGCGCACGACGAATGTGCATGCGTTTTCTGTTGGGGAGCTGGGTGGCCCACCGGGCAAGAAGCTGCAGGTGAGGGTAGATGGCCAGCTGCTCCCTTCTTCACAGGGGAAGTGGGTGCTTACCTCCTCCGGCTGGGCAGCTGCAGCCAGCGCAGTCAACGCAGTCAACCCTCTCCCCCTTCCCCCAGTCCCTGCAGGCCCAATATCCTCGATCCTCACTTCCCAAGGACCTATCACGCTTGTCCTCCCCCGCTCCCCCTCCCGATCCCGCTCTGGGCACGCGTCTGTTGCGGCTAGGTTGGCGAGAGCAGTGTTCCTTTATCTGAGGATTGACGTGCAGATCGTGTTTGATGATGAAGTGCTGGGACTGGCCGGCGACGAGGGTCGAACCGATGGGGAGAGGGGAGAGGTGCAAGGGTTGGAGAAATTGGGAAAAGGGAACTTGATCCTCCTCGGTGGGTGGGAGAACCTCCTTACCCGCCGTCTCCTGCAAGCCAACAAGTCGTTCACATTCGAAGGAGGACATCTGCACCTCTCGGGGCACACCTTCTCTTCCCCCGGGCTGGGGGTGCTTTTCCTCCTCCCCCACCCTCGCCCTCACCCCACCTCTTCTTCCTTGGCGCTAGTGCTCACCGGCACCGACCCCTCAGGCCTAGAACGCGCACTCCGCGCTTTTCCACTCAGGACGGGCGTGCCGGTTACTCAGTGGATGGTACTGGGTGACGAAGGGGACTGGCAGGGTTTGGGAGGGGTCAGGGCGGCGGGGTGGTGGGATCGGAGTTGGGGCGTTGGGGGGGGATGGTTTGCTTGAGTTTGTTTGAGTTTGACAGTTGGATGTAAATCGGGAATGGGAAGGGAATGGGAAACAGTTAGATACCGGGAAATGTAGATATTTGAAATGAAATACCGATGAATCGGTTCGATGTTGGAGGATGGTGGGGCTCGCCTGACGAGACCGTTTCACCCCGCCGCTTCGAGAGCCGTTAATGTTCAAAAGAGGTGCCTTTGGACGTAGTCTGGTTCCCTTCCCTCCTGCTTGTTTTTGACCTTGAGATAGTTACTCTTAACGGACCCCTCTGTAAGAAGTTTGACGCGCTGCTGTAATTGTCATATACGAACGCTAATGCCATTTCTGGAAGGCAACAATACAGATGCGAAACAAGATTACACAGAAAATATGTATCCTAGGAGAAAAGCAGCTGCCTACATATGGCGCACATATTCCGCAACGACAATCGCGTGATCACGTTCGTACGGTTCCAGTGTCAGCTGTTCCTTCGGCTTGAACTTCTCCTTTTGCAGCTTCTTTACTTCGCTCGCGAAGACGACTTCTGCAGGCTGGGTAGAGTCGATGCAGTTTGCCTTGATGGAGATGACAGCGTGGCCGTGGTTTTTGAGGAAGGAGTGGGCGTTGAGCGCGACGATACGTGCTTGGTCGGGTTGGGCAACGTCGGCGAAGATGACGTCAACCATGGAAAGGAGAAGGCGGTAGCGTTGTGGTTGCCGAGCATCCTCGATGATTGCTAGGAAGAGGTGAGATGACGGAGGAAGGGAGTTTGGGGAAGACTTACGAATAACATTCGTCCGCTTCTTCGCCATTGTGATCAGGTCACGCCCTGAACGAGGTGAGAACTCGACGGCGTAGACAACACCAGTCTGGCGTTGAAGTAAGACTATGAATCATACTATCGCGGGTCTTACGTACCGGTCCAACAACATCGGCAACATGACTGACACTGGTTCCGCTCGCAGCACCGAGGTACAACACCTTCGCGCCAGGCTTTATCCAGATATTATCCAAACCACCGAGAACACCAGCGGCGAGTTTAGAACGGAACGGGTTCCAGACACGGTACTCGATCTTCTGAGACTCGCCTTCATCGTTCTTTGACTCGACAGAAATTCGTTTCTCGCCGTAGACGGCTTCACCCGGCGTCAGGTTCTTGGTTACTAGCATCTGCTCTTTTGAAGACTTGGCAATGAAGATGCCTCCATGGACGTGCGGCTCGATCGTCACGTTGGAGCCTCCCCTCCCACCGCCACGCCCGCCTCTGGCACCACCACGACCACCCCGGCCGCCGCGAGGGGCCCCTCGGGATGCACCCCGTGGGGCAACTAAGTTGGTCTGAGAACCGCCATCGTAGGATAATGAGAGAGATACCTACCTCCACCACGACCTCCCCTCATGCCACCGCGACCGCCTCCACGCCCACCGCCCCTGCCGCCACGATCTCCCCCACCTCGACCACCTCGACCACCAAAACCTCCCCTACCACCTGGTGCGCCTGAAAAAAAAGCAACCTCAGCATGCATTCAATACCTTTCAACAAATTTTACGCACCAAAAGCCATTGGATGTAGTAATGAATGGGACTTTTAAGCAACAGAAAAGACAATTAGCTGTGGGAGGACCAATTCGAGCGCTGAAAAAGTGACGGCTCTGAATTTTGGGGAGGTAATTCCTCCGATGACCCCTTTCGGGCGCATTTTGCCTACCATGACCTCGGGCGCAAATCCCTGAAATGACCCCAAATGCCGCCCCTAAGTAACCAAATAAGGAAAGCAGTGGCTGTGGCAATAGAAGCACGTGTCTCCGGCGAATCCAACGATGCGTTTTGTGAATGTTTTGCTATCAGAACAGACCTTTTTCAAAAGACAAGCTGATTGGCATTGTGTATGGTATCTATTATTTTCAAGAACTGCTGCAAAATTCATTGCCTTGCCGTAAAAGTGCGGTGTTTCCTCACCTATGTTTACGATGGTGAAATTCGGTGAATTATTATACGAGGCATCCATGCAGAATTAATGTATATACTGTAACATAACTAATGAAAAAACAAGACAAAGCTTGCGAATTAATTGTCGGAATATCTAATAATTAATAGCGACCCCCCCGTGGCGGTGTAGACAAGCGCACGTGGCATTTGGCGGGTGCTAGACGCGGATGTCGGACCTTGACAGAAATTAGTACATTTTGTATTAGAGTAGTAATACAACTATCCTATATCCTATATAGTGAAGCAAATATGAAGAAGCCGGGGACAAAACCACACGCAAAAAGCACGTGGTTCACGTGGCACCACGTGCGGGGGAAGTAAATCCGGACCCTAGGTCCAAAATTGGAAGTGGAACTAAATCTGCTTCCACTGCGGCAGTGCGGGTCCCTAGGAGGCTGAGGGTTACTTAACCCTGGCCCTTTTTAAACCCTACCTCTAACCCATATCCCCAAATATTCAACATATAATATATTAAATACATGCATGCAAGGTATAGCATGCATGAGGTATATTGACTACAGAGCTACATAGACTGAACAAAAGACTTACAACCCTAACCAAATAGGTATTCTACCCTGGACCTTCACTATATAAAGCACTCACAGAAACAGGACACAGGAGATGGGAGATGGGAGATGGGACCCGTGGTTGCTTAGGGCAGGCCTTGGGGTCATTTCAGGGATTTGCACCCAAGGGGTCATCGTAGGCAAAATGCGGAATTACCTCGAATTTTGGGTCGAGTGCCTCGGAGGCAAATAATTTCTGGCGCTTCTGCATCGCCACTTGCATTCAGGGTGGTGGCACGTGACATGAAGAATTCTTAGCCTGGGTCGCTGTCAGAAGAGCTCTAACATGGTGTTGTTAAATTGTTTTGTCAACAGGATGGGCATCGGTTCGAATCCCGAAGGGAAGCCATTTGTAAACAGCCGGATTTCCGAGTGGAGGTTGATGTCCGCGTGGAACGTATCTCGATGCGGTCTAGAACCTTTCTGGGAGGGTTTCTTCGGGTATTACATAGCCAAAGAACTGGTATCTGCATTGTAAATCCCTCGAAGTTCATTCTTGTGATTCCTACTGTTAAATATAAAGTGCGGTGGAGAATATAAACCCGAATTACAAGCCGAAGAGTCCGACTTGACGTGGGTTGTTTAGGGCCGGATAGCGGGAGCTAAATTTCGGGTTCTGGCGCCAAGTTTCGGAAAGTGTATCGCTCAGCTCAGACGACGTCGACCACAGCTCGGACGACGACGACGAAGACAAGGACGACAACAGTGACCAACGTCAACAAACAAAACGGTGCGTTTATAGCCTTTGTGAACACCACGCTGGCGAGAAAGAAGAAGCGGCGACATCATTTGTCATTCGAGTCGCCCAAAACTCGCACAAGATCAGCACGATGCATCCAGCAGGCCCCTCATCGTCGCCCCCGCGACCGTACGCAATGCCGCCTTACCCACCTCAACATCCAGGACCATACCACGACTATGGTGCATATCAGCAACAACAACCTCAGCAACTCCCAATGTATCCCCCGCAGTTTATACCCCCATACCAGATGATGTGGCCACATCCACCTCCACCTCACGCATGTCAACATTTCCCTCCCCAGTATCCCCAGCTTCCACCACAGCCGCCCCATGGTCGTCCGTACCAGCCAAGAGGGCAAGGTGGATACAGGGGCGGAAGGGGTAGAAGACCAAATGGCGCACATATGGGCCCTCCCTTCGTACCCCGTGGCATGATGCCAATGCTAACCAGCCCCGTTGGACCGACTCCCGCCCAACCTCCCATATCTGTCGGTGCACTTCCTCCCCCTCCAATGACGATGCCCTCCGGACCTGTTGGCGCATTCTATCAGCCAATACCCACACCGCCATCGCCGCCGGAATCGCTTCTCCCACCCACACCCCAACCTGAGTCCTCCTCTTCGCCGTCTCCCCAGTCCGGATCTACGGTGCATACAACAACCCCGACCTCTCCTATTTCTGTGCCCGAGATTGCACCCTCCCCCAATCGCACCCCAAAAGCCACACCACCTACGATTGCGAGCGTTCTCCAAGCACTTCCAGATGCCGGTGTCATGGTTCATATCGCACGTTATCGGCCAACGGTCGATACCGCCGGCATCATCACCATCGCGCGGCACTTGACTCAGCGCGAGTCCTTCCCGAAGATGATGTTGGATAACGCCGTCATTGACAATACGCCGCGTCCCAAGATTAGTGCTGCCCTGAAACCCAGACGGCCTGTGCCAACCAGTGTCGTCGTTACCCCTGCCCCGACGACGCCCTCCTCGGTTCAGGTATCGCTTACCTCTGCTGCGGTGTCTTCCCTCCCTACCACGCCCGGGACAACCACCGTGAAAACTCCTTCAGTCATTTCCACGTCTTCCGCGCAAGCCCCACCGTCTGTCACGGAAACTCAGCCTACCGTCACGGAAACCCGCGAGGAGACGCCGAAGCCTGCTCCAGCACCTAAACCTAAACCATCCTCATGGGCTGGCCTATTCCGCCCATCAGGCACCCCGTCCACGGCCGCTACGGCTCCCGCCATTAAAGGTGCAGGGATCCATGCGCATGAAACGTCAAACGTCCCGACGGTTATAACCCTCCCTAGCTCTCCGATAATATTCACCCAGGCAGACTCTGTGGTTACCCGGGAAGAACCCGTTAGGCGTCGTCCGGCAGCTAAAGTCGATTTAGAGCGGCTCGTGGCTGATGGCACGGGCATCTTGGACGAGGTTTTGAAGCAAGGCGAAAATTGGCGCGCAGCGCTTACGGTGCCTATGGGATTATGGAATACTGGTAATCTATGTTTTGCGAACTGTGTAAGTTTACTATGTCCTTCCTACGCTTTGTGGCTCACCCAGTTTGTGTAGATTCTACAAACGCTCGTTTACTGCGGACCATTCTATGAACTTGTCACGGAGATTGGTCAGCGGATAGGTGGTGCCGTCGGCGGACGGACGCCTTTCCTAGACGCTATGTATGCTACTTGTATATTCCAAATGTCTTAACGCTGATCTTTCTTCCAGGGTTCTCTTCCTCAGGCAAATCCCCATTACGACAAGTCCCGATCCGTGGAAAGCTCGTCTTGATGAAGTCGACTTCCCTGGCTTGGGCGGACCAGCCAGTGAAGCCGCGAAAATGGAGGTGATCAAGCAAAAAGAGTCGCAAGGCATGGTGCCCGACTATGTCTATAATGGTCTTTCCGACTATCCGAAATCCAAGCAGATCTTGGTTAGTACTTTCCGTAGTTGGCCGTCACTGATGTACTGACTTCGTTACAGAAGGGCGGGCAGGAAGATGTGGATGAATTCTTCTGCTTCCTTCTTGATGTGCTCGAGGAAGAGCTCCTCACGGTGCTTAAAATTTTCAGCGCTAATCCAACTCCTGCTTCTGCGTCATCCACCCAGGCCTCATTCGGGGGCAAGAAACTCACACCAGGCAAGCCCGACGACGAGTTCGAGGTGAGACGTCCAGTCAGCCCTGGCACCGCAGCCCGCGGCGCTGAGGACGGCGAGTGGACCGAAGTCGGCAAGCGGAACAAGAAGGTTGTATCGCGTTCTATTCTCGCGGCGGAAACTGCCATTACCAAGTTGTTCTGCCTCAAGACCCGCACTGTGGATAGGCGTCCTGGTGCTAAGGATGCGGTGCTTATCGAACCCCAGCAAAGGCTGTCTCTCAGTGTTATCGTAAGCTGTTTCTTTTCGTCTTGTTACTCTTGTGCTAATTCTATTGCAGGATGAGAAGATTACCAACATTGAGCAGGCTTTGCATGCATTTGCGTCCGTCGAAACCATGGAAGGAACTAACCTTAGCCGTCAAGTCATGCTGGATACTCTACCACCAGTCCTTGTCCTCCAATTACAGCGTTGGGGACCTAGACGGAACGGCAGATGGGAGAAGACTGAGAAAGAAATCGCCATCACTCAAATCCTTGAGATTCCCAATGAGGCACTAAGTCCTGCGCGTCGGAGCGCAATTTTACCCAAGTACCGGCTCTTTGCAGGTAGGTTGGAATGTTCTTAGAAAACGTTCAGTGTCCTGATGAATTTTGTGGTAGTCTTGTATCACGATGGTCTCTCTGCACAGCAAGGCCATTATACGCTGGACGTTTTGCGTCAGGACTGCTCCGAGTGGATCCACTATGACAACGAACAAATATCTCTGGCGTCACCGCCAGGGGAGGAGAAGCTGCGTGATGGTAGGGTCGCATATATGCTCTACTACCTCCGCATCGTGTGATCAGTTTACATATCATTTTGCCATGGACGTTGAGTCCACACTGTTGTACGTGTATCGATACCCAAGATAATTGGCTGCATGCAACCCTCAATGTACAATTTTCATGCTTTAGTCAGCGGTGATTTCCTTCGAAGTGTCCAGTCTAGGTTAGATCGTTGATACATTGCGCAATGAATAAAAATGGATTCAATATCATTTCTTCAACCTCTCAGAACACAAAAGTAAATGAACCTTTACAGGTTCGCTTCATCGACATTCATAGCCAGCGTAGTGAAGAACTCTATGGCAGCCATGAAGTTCTCAATTCCCATCGCCTCGTTGACCGTATGGAAGCCATTGCCAATACCCTCCGGCCTATTGTGCGCATATCGGAAGATGTGTGGGGTTAGGCCCCAGTAATGGCGTGTGTCAGTGTTTCCGCTCATGATGCCGGGAGCCATGTTGATCTCAGTAGATATTTGCTCGCCGCTCTCCAGCTTGGCGCGACGAATTGAAGCGGGGAGCCCATCGTTATGCGCATAGACGGTCTTGATTGTCCCACCGAGCACGTTCCAAACGGCACCTTCGACTGGGGACACCGGAGCTGGTTCAAGCGCAGTCCCAAATGTGTCTGAGAGGACGAGCGAGCCCGCCTTCGGCGCATCATCGGAATCTGCAGAGACAACAGCGCCGAAACCCTCCATGGAGAGATTCCACTGAGCTGCTTGGGGCCCGAGGAGTTCCACGAGGTGGTCTTGAACAACTGCAAGCGAGTCAGAGACGCTGACACGGTGGTTGATGACGGCATAAGCCTGCTCAGGAAGTGCGTTGCTCTTGACTCCACCGTGAATCAGATCAACCGCCTGGGTGGTAGACATCAGGCTTGGACCGATCGGCAAGACAGCAACGCCAGCGGGGAGTTCGTGCATCGCCCATTCACCGAGCTTTTCAAGAGCATTGTCGCTCTTCTGGCTGGCCCTGATCAGATGACGCGCTTTCTTGGGAAGTTCGGGGGAATACTCGGCAATGCATTGAAGGGTGGAGTAGAACGGGTTTGAGCGAGTAAGCCTAGGCGGGATTGGGTTCGCTTCAACACTCGTAACAAGGGACGACAGGATACCGATGCCCGTGTGTTTAGGCGGTGTTGAGGAGTGGCCGCCCTTGGTTTTCACTGCGAGGCGCGCATCGATAGCGCCCTTCTCTCCGACACCCGGTGCAGCGTACATTGCACCCATGATTTCACTGTAACCGGCACCCTCGTCGATGAGCATGGCCATACTGTTTTCGCCATACGTTTCCAAGAGAAAGTTGCCGATCGACGCTGCCCCGCGCATGCCCGATACTTCCTCGTCGAAACCGAAGGCTAGCAAGACAGTTCGCTTGGGTACGAAGCCTTTCTTCAGAAGTGTCTCCATGGCAATCATGATGGCCACTGGCAGAAGCCGTCAGAGAATGCCTTCCCATGCGAGATGCTGGATACCTACTGAGACCACCTTTATCGTCACAACTACCCCTTCCCCAAATCCATTCGCCATCGAAATAGCCCGAAAATGGCGGGTGAGTCCACTGATCATAAGTTTGTGGTTCAACCGGCACCACATCTAGAAAGGTATATGATTGATACTGGGGAACACTTCTTAATCAAGAAAGAACATACCTTGATGACCCGTAAGCATCAGGGGTTTGAGGCTACCGTCGCTCCCCTTCCAAGTGTAGACGAGTCCCCAGGTGTTCACGGTCTCTTTTTTGAAAGTGGCATGCCTGGTCAAACGCATCAGGAACACATCTTCTCTAACGTGACTGCCCATACACATTGGGGAATGCGCCTTCCAACCACGCATGGAACGCACCGAACTTCTCCCAGCGATCGTCCTCCCCCACCTCCCCCAGGCCATCATACATCTCCGTAGGAATCCTCACGCTAGCACCCAACAGTTCGGCACTCTTATTAACAAACACAGGGTCTGCAAACTGTTCATACAGCGCATTCAACAACGCTTCGTTGCTCGGTTTGAGAGCGCCAGACTGGGCGCACACCGAGACGGCAGACTTCGTGCATCCAAAGGTCGGAATCGACAGAGGGCGCGTAGCCGGATACAGGTATCCGCAGAGGATGTACCCGACAGTGAAGCAAACCGCCGCGAGTTTCGCATACTGCCAGAGAAGTGATCGCTTCGGGGCAGACGTAATCCCAGTTGCAGAGGGAAGTAAGTCACCCTTCTCATTCAGATTGTCCATGTTCAGGACAAGTGAAATGGGGGAAGGAAGGTGAGGGCTTGCAATCTCTGGATGCTAGTCCCTCCCATTTGTATCGGGTCGCAATTACCGAGGTAGGTGGGGAAGAAGGCAGGATGTGAAGCCTATCGGGTTCCTTCCGGGGTTGAGTCATGGAAACAATCGCGATTGGGTGAGACAGAAAAGGTGCGTCGATATCTCCGACAAATTATCCGGTCACGTAAATAACGTAATCACGCACTTTCCCACTGCCCCTTCCCTGCTGTCCCCCTGAGCATCTTTGTTGAGGGCGTCAGCTCTAGAATTCCGTCATTACCTTCCTTCTCTGCCCCAGAGCCGTATACAAGCCACTCGTCCCGCAGGACCTCGGATGCCGCCGCACGTTGTGACGGTTCAAGGACCAACAGCTTCTGAACAAGTGCGAGTGCGGGATCGACATCGGCTTCGGGAACACGGTGCAACGGATCTGCGAGCATATCGGCACGCAGTTGTGACCAGGTGTTCTCCCCCATGAGACATTTGATCGCGGACTCATCTAAGTGGACATGCCGACCACGCCATTCCTCCGGTATTTGCCCCTCAGCCAAACCACACATCATGCACCAAATCTCATCCTTGGACCTTCCCGGAAAGGGCCGGAAGCAAAGCAGTAGTTCGAAGAGCTGCGGAAGGGTCCGTGAGTGGGTGCCTAGATAATGGTTCCGGGCATACCGTGCAACCAAGTGCCCACAGATCAGCGCGGACTCCGAAGGTGAAGTCAACTTCACTCATGACAAAGTCGCCCAGCAAAATCTCGGGTGAGAGAGCCACGAGGGCGCGCATGTTTGGTTCTGGAATTGGCTGGCCAGTTCCATATGCTGGCCCCATGTATGAGAGACGCCTTCTGTAGGACACGGGCAACACAAGCTTACATTCTCCAAGATCCATGATTTGCAATTGTAAATCTTCCATACCGCCTTCCTCAATCAGAGGGATCAGGCGATGTGCCATCTGGGGGTCAATCCCGAATGGTTGATCGACCGTGTATTTTGGCATTAACGCAGGTGGATACTTCAAACAGTCGCGTGGAACGACCGGTGTCAGGCGGAGGAGGAGATGTGCTAGGACACGTTCAGCGGGTATCGTATCCATTGCGCGTATGTGGATGCCTAAGTTTGCACGGTGTAGGTCTAAGTTTCACCTTAGTAACTTGAGCAAGGTTACCCTTCGAGCGCACCTCCGTGAACGATGCCATGTGCATGCAGGTAGGATAGCCCTTGTACGAGCTGCAAACCGAATCTCCGCCTAGTCTTCATACTCCACCGCAGGTCCAAGTCTTTCATCGCGAAGCAGAGGTTGAAGACAAGAACATCATGCTCGCCGTTCGGTCCATGTAGCTTGAAAAAATCTAATAGTCGAACGACGTTCCGTGAGCCTGGGTGGGCTGCATCTCGGTGGTGCTGAGCCAAAGACAACAGAATAGAAATCTCATTATCCAGGCCGTGCCCGCTGCAGTTGGAGCTGAGGATCTTTATTGCAACCCCACGCTTACTAAGCAAATAAATGTTGGCGTTTGACTCACGGAAAATGAATGGAGAAAGTACTTCTCGCTCGCCATGTCTTCTGCAAGCCATACCGTTGCCTGCCCCCCGTAGCCAAGCTTGTGGAGGATGCGGTATCTTGGTCCATCGCCACCAGGAAGTACAGAAAGCACATCGCCAAGGTGGACGGGGTGGAAACCACCGGGGCCGTACCTACTGAGGTCCTCGGCATACTCGGACGGCACACAGTAGAAGTCCCCGAGCGGGGCATATCCAGGCCGATCTCCCATTAGGCTCACGAGGTGAAAGCAACGGTATAAAGATGAAGTTATAGAGCAAGTTATCCAGCGCGGTCATGCCAGGCAGCCAGCCGTGGTTGTCTTTATAGGTCTACCCGGTGCCACATGGTGGTAGGCACCTAGGAACGGTCCAGTAGGGGGATGAACATGAGGCGTGCACGAACGGTCCCCATATCAGCGATGGACCCTAAACGCGTAGGACGCATCGGTCAGCGGTGAGCCCGGCCGCAGCGTACAGCTTGCTATCTCTATTGTGCTAGTCTGATTCTCAGAGATGTCAGTAAGTACTCAGTAGAACCCGGGAATGGACCCCGCTGATGAAACGAACAGCATGGAGTAAAGAGGGCCAGGGAGAGCGCTGATGTGGTTGCTGCTCGACGCGAGAAGGAGCGCTCAAAGCTGAATGCATACCTTGAGCTGACTGACGACGTGCTCGCTAGAGTAAGTTGTGCTTCACAGTGAGGTCAAATGTCCTTTACATATCTCTATAGAAACGAGCATCGGCTTTCACACAAGAATCCTTTGACCTCACAACCAAACTCCTCGGTCTCAATCCCGAGCTTTACAGTATCTGGAACTATCGACGGCTGATCCTCCTAAACGGTCTCTTTCCCAATCTTTCACCAGAGGGAATATTCACACTCCTCCAATCCGAATTGAACTTCACGACCGGTGCACTGAAGGTTCACCCGAAGGTGTACTGGATCTGGAATCACAGAAGATGGTGCCTTGCAAACGTCCCGCCGGGTCCAGACGGCGCTCCTGTCGAGAAGAGTTGGAAGCGACAGATGTGGACAAGAGAGCTCTTCATAGACGAGAGGATGCTGGAGGCTGATGCGAGAAACTGTGCGTTATATGCGCATGTCTGCTCGAACATGGACGTTGACTGCTCACATCAGTTCATGCGTGGAACTACCGACGAAACATATTGGCGTCCGACCCCGGACTACGGACATTGCAAGATGAACTCACTTACACAAAGAAGAAGATCGAAGCCAGTTTTTCGAATTTCAGCGCATGGCACCAACGATCGAAGGTCTACACAGCGCTCTGGGAAGAAGGTTCTTCGGCGGAGGATGTCCGGAAGGTGAAGGACACTGGTGCGTCATAGTGCGGTCGTGCCACGTATGAGCTTGTTTCTGATCAGAGTAACAGAATTTGAATTTGTGCAGCAAGCACTGTACACAGATCCGGGAGATCAGAGCGCATGGCTGTATCATCGCTGGCTCATTGGTAATGGTATGTTACCGATCTCGCCGATGCTTCTTCCGTGGCTCATCCGATATCAGGAGAAGACCTTCCTGTTCTTAAACGCGAGATCGCCGCGATCGAAGAGCTTCTGTCCGTCGAACCTGACAGCAAATGGTGTCTTGAGACACTGGTGCACTATAAGCGATTGTTGACGTCCCGATCTCACATGGACGAGACAGAACTCGCCGCATTGAAGAAAGAAACTAATGTGATGCTGGAAAAGCTCCAGGGCATCGATCCGAAGCGAAGGATAAGATATCAGGAGCTTGGTATGTGATCTGGTCAGAGAATAGAACAGGACTTACGCTTGCCTAGCTCTCTGATCAGGCAGTGGCGACCTTGTACCCAGTCCAGTAGAGTTCGTGCAAGCTTTCAGACGAAACCCGGGAATGTGTTTTGTACTAATACATGTGTTGACGCGGATGGATATAGTTTTGAGGCAGTGAATGATCGAGCTTTCGTAGCATGCAAGACAGTGTTGGCTATCGCCCGAAGTGTACTTATAAGGCATTGTCATTGACCGCAGTCACGACAGCACCTTAAGACTGCCGAGGTGGTCTCATTAGGGTTGAACAGTTCAGTTGAATCGCATATCGACATGCACACTGCCCCACAAAAGACTGCAGAGTTTCGCTTGAACCACAGATCTATTGGACCACGGCTATGCATAGACATACGTACACACAGGGGCACGGATTCAATCGAAGAGGAGAATGAAACACGAAAAGCTGAGGTACTTGCAGATGAACACAAACAGCAGAAAGGGGCGAAGGAGAGTAAATGGAATGGAAAAGAGAAAATCACATTCGTCAACATTCGTTGCAGTATCATACGTCACGTCTTGTTACGTCAGCGGTGCGAGGAGAAACACAGGATGGGAGAACCAAAGTAGGTCAGAGCAGAGCAGATGTCGGAGAGCAGCGATGCCGTCGGGGTTTTGCGCAGGCTGAGAATGGACGGGGCGAGGGATACGGCAAGGGCGGAATACGAGTGTGAGTGAGACGATGAGACAGTAGAAGGAGTGCGGGCTATCGGTCGATCGAGTTCCGAGTCGGCCGAAACGGGTACTTTTGGGCGGTCGGGCGGGTAGGCAGAAGGATGTAGCAACGAGGCGCTCAGATGAGGTCGGCGACGTTCAATGGCATCTCGTCGATCTGGGTGTTATAGAACTGCTCGATGTCGCGGAGCATGCGCACATCCTCAGTGGTGACGAAGTTGATCGCAACACCCTTGCGGCCGAAACGGCCACCACGACCAATCCGATGGATGTAGTTCTCGCGATTGGTGGGGAGATCGTAGTTGATGACGAGTGAGACCTGCTGGACATCGATACCACGGGCGAGGAGATCGGTGGTGATGAGCACACGGGAAGAGCCGGAACGGAACTCCTTCATGAGCACCTCGCGCTGCTTCTGCTCCATGTCACCATGCATGGCACTGACGGTGAACTCGCGCTTGTGGAGCTGCTCGGTCAGCCAGTCAACCTTGCGCCGGGTGTTGCAGAAGATGACGGCTTGCGTGATCGTCACGGTCTCGTACAGATCGCACAGTGTGTCAAGCTTCCACTCCTCCTTCTCGACGGCGATGTAGAACTGCTTGATACCTTCCAGGGTAAGTTCATCGCGCTTGACGAGGATGCGCACGGGGTCACGCATGAACTTCTTGGTCACCTCGAGCACGTCGGATGGCATCGTCGCGGAGAGTAGGACCACCTGGGTTTCCTGAGGAAGAAGCTGGAAGACCTCGTAGATCTGCTCCCGGAAACCACGGGCAAGCATCTCATCAGCCTCGTCAAGGCAAAAGATCCTAATATTGTCGGTCCTGAGCGCGCGGCGGTTGATCATGTCGTAGACACGGCCGGGGGTTCCGACCACGACATGTACACCTTCCTGCAGCTTCCCCATATCCTCGCGCACGTTTGTGCCCCCGATGCAAGCGTGGCATTCGATGTTCATGTAGTCACCAAGGGCAATGACGACCTTCTGAATCTGCTGGGCAAGCTCTCGCGTAGGGGCAAGGATGAGCGCCTGGGTGGCCTTGACCGACAGATCCAGTCGCTGCAGGATGGAAATGCTGAAGGTCGCCGTCTTTCCGGTACCCGACTGTGCCTGTGCAATAACATCGTGACCCTTGATCACGGGGACGATGGCACGCTGCTGGATGGCAGAGGGGCGCTCGAAACTGCAACACAGCCAGCCGCATCAGGGCGCGTTTCACGTAAGATACCAATACATATACATACCCATAGGCGTAGACACCACGCAGAAGCTCAGGCTTGAGTTCCATGTTGTCGAAACTATTTCACGAAAGTCAGCATCAGCGCCTCCACTTGGCCGGCAGGGGCCGGGACTACTAGATCAGCGACCCAGCACGTACTTGTCGACGACCTGGTCCCAGTTGGACTCAATCTCCTCCGCCTGGACATCCTGCAATTGTTCGGTACTGCGGTGGTTTGTTAGCATGTTTGTTCCATGGGTGCATAGAACAGGAAACAACATACGAAGCCATGTTAAGATTTGCTGTTTGTTTATGAAACGCGAGTTGTCGACGTGGTTATAACGGTCGACAATGCCCGCGAAATTGGTTGTTCGTAATGTTATAAAACTACACAGAAGCGTTCAATGAATCGCTTGTGCAGAGTGGTAGGTGGTGGTGGTGGTAGATGGGCAAGTAATGATGACTATAATTTTTCGGGCAGTGATGGGACATGCGGTATAGGCGAGGAATTTGAGTGTGGCTGTGCTCGGAACCGGGAAGAAGTATCTCCGTGGGAAAGTGGTCAGCTTGAGTCAAAGGAAGTCAGATGTATGCGCTAATTGGTTGGTCTGCTTCTTACTTGCTGCTCGCTGTCCTCAACGACGATGCCATTCGGCTGATACCACCACCACCACAACAACACCTAGACAATGCCGTCCAAGTCGACCCCAGCATCTGGCACGGCGACGCTCTCATCTATCCTGGCAGCGCGTTCACCGCCTCCTGGTCTCGCTTCTCCTAACCCAGATGCCGACGAAGACATTGATGACGGAGACAGCGCAGTTTGTCATATATGCGCTAATGCGATTACCTACATCTCCTTATCTCCTTGCTTGCATACTACCTGCCATACTTGTGCTCTCCGTCTTCGCGCCCTATACAAGTCACAGTCCTGCACAGTCTGCAAACAGCCTCAACCGCGCCTGTTGTTCCTCCTTCCCTCTACCCTCCCCAACCCTGGTAGCTTAGGCGTCACCACTCAGGAAGATAGAGAGAAAGTCTTCGACGATTTTCTCGCAAAGTGCCCCTTCAGCGATGAACAGCAGTCGACCGCTTTTCAGTCTCTTCCAATCAAGCAGGCCACTCTTCAGCTTTTGCGATTCAATTGTCCATTCTCCTCCCTTCATTCGCTTACTGAGCCTGGGTCTTCCCCTCCCCGTGGCGCACCTCCAACTCCATGCTCGTTTGTCGCTTCACGTGGCTTCATTGAGCTCGCTCGGCATACCCGAGAGCAGCACGGAAGGCTATTGTGCGAACTCTGCGTGAAGAGCAAGAAGATATTTGCGCATGAGCATGTACTGTACACGCCAAGGCAGCTCGTGGTGCACCTGCCAAATTTGTCGACAGTACCGATCGACATGCAGCGAGGGCGCGGGCGACGCGGGCGAGGAAGAGGGCGTGGCGGCTTATCCAGAGGTGCCGGTCCTGCCGCGACAAGGGATGTTGATATGGACAATGGTGCGGACGGGGAGGCCGAAGAAGAAGAAGAAGACATGGTCGAATGGAGCCATCCAATGTGCGCTTTCTGCCGAGAATGTTTCGCATCCAGCGACGAACTGTATGCACATCTGAAAGAAAAACATGAAGAGTGCTTTATATGTCGCAATGCAGGGGAGCGGGATGTCTAGTAGGTTCCGCTTACATTCAGCCTTTTTGTCGAACTAACAGTACATCCTTCACCCCTTTGCAGCTTCCTTAATTATGAATCTCTCCAAAGGCACTTTCAAAGCGCGCACTACCCCTGTCCACACCCCAACTGCATCAGCCAGCACTTCGTTGTCTTCCCCAGCGATATGGATCTGAAGGCGCACTATGTCGAAACGCACGGAGGTGAGATGAGCCAACGTGAGTTACGGGAGATGCGCGAGCTAGTAAACATGTTCGACTCTGTACCTGGAGCGTCAAGCGTGTCAACTTCCTCGAATGCGGGACAAGGGAGAGGGGGTAGGAGAGGAAGGTTTGGCGCTCAGCTGACTACCGCTGGCCTGGATGGGATGGGCACTCCGGCTCAGGAAGACTCTGATCAGGCGAGGGAAGCGCTCGAACGCCAGCCCTTGACGGACGCTCAGGTAACTGCGTGGCAAGCGCTCCTCAACCCGCTCCCCGTCCTACCGCCCACTCAATTGCTCGCACTCCGCTCCTCCTTGCTTGCATGGCTTTCTCATCAGCAAAGTGCCAAAGACCTCCTCACCATTCTTATTTCCCTCCTTCACAATCCCACGTCGCCCACCCTCTCCCGTGCTGGCGACCCAGACGAACTGGTAATCAAAGCGCTCCAAGGGTTGGCGAACCGAGGCAAACTGGGAACAGACGAGGAACAGGAACTGAGAACCGCTATCAACGGGTTCAGGGCAGAGAGGGCCGGCGCCTTCCCCAGCCTTAGCAGGGATTCTGGCTTCAGTGCCGTCGCGAGCGGAAGGGGGATTGCTGTTCCACTTCCACTTGGAGGCGGTGGCCGAGCGGGACCAGCAAGCACCGGCAGGAGAGGCGCACCGCACAGGACGGTTTGGGACCGTGTCGAGAGTGCGGCACAGCGTACTGTGCCTCCCCCAGTGGCCCTCTCTGCTGTGCCAGGAAGGCAGCAAACATCTGCGCAGGCTTTCCCTGCCCTCTCCGCCTCACTGGCCGCACCGGCACCGCGCCGACCTGGAGCGACTGCTTGGTCGGCGTCTGCCTCCGGCTCAAGTTCGGCTTCACCCCGCCCAGCTCCTGCGCCGCCTCCTCCACCAAGTGTCCAGGCACACTCCATTCCCGCTCGCTCTTTCACTACGACGCCGTCCTCCGTTCCCAACACGCCTAGCGCAACGCCCCGCCGCCCACCTCCGCAGGCGGACGGCCGCCAGTTCCCGGGTTTGCCAACGAGGGAAGTTATCAAGGTGCCACTAGGAGCAAAGGGGGGAAACAGCAGTTTGAGGAATATTTTGGGGCAGCAGGACTCGAGCAGTAGTTGGGGAAAGCCGGCGGGAGGGAGTAGTTGGGGCAGGCCTTTGGGAAGCGGGAGTGGTCCGAGCAGTCCTACGGAGGCGACGGCGCCGGACGGGATGGAGGATGGCGTGGCCTCAGGGGGAGGGAATGCACCGGCTGCCGCTGGAGCAAATACAAACGGAGGTGGGAAGAAGAAACGCAAGGGAAAGGAGACGCTTTTTACCCTTGGAAGCTTCCCGACTGCATAGTCTCGTTGTGTCCCTCAAACACCTGGAAGGTGAACCTGTCCCACAAATTAGGTTTGTGAGCTGGTTCTGCAGTGAGTTCCTGACCGCTTCGCCCAGTTGTATCCTCAGGATGAGATACTGCGTATGGCGAAGCTAGAGCTGTGATTGTTTATTGGTTACATCGATGTTGTAATGAATAATAGAACAGGATTGATGGGCTTCATCTGTTGACAGGTTCGGCGTTTTGCACGTCGGAGTTAGGGTTCGTTGTTTCCCTTTTTCTTTGACCAGAGTTCAGCTGTCGAATGGTAATCGTGCGCCTGCTATCAAAAGTCGATTATCATATAAAACCCCTCTCTGCTTGCTAATAAGACTTGTCTGGCAAGAAAGAAGTTATTTCTGCTGTGAGGAAACACTTCGAGGGCTGTTTGTTATCACAAATCGCCTCTGGGCTCACTGTTCCGCTTCTGCACTTGGACCACCACGAGCCTTCGTTCGCAATTTTGCTTTATTTTAAAGGATTGTCACTGACTTCGTTTGACAGTGACTAAAAAGGAAACTAGAAGCGAAAATGGTTCTTCCTCCAGTCTTCCTCTGCCCTCGCGTCTTCGTCCGACCCACAACATGCCCCCTCCGAGCCCTCTCACCTACCTTCCGCGCCCTCTCTACCGCCCCTTCACCGAGCGCCGACCAACCTACACCTCCTCCCATCCTCTCAGGTGATTCTGGTCGTCCGACTGCGCCAAAACCCACCGAGCCGCCTATCTCTATAGAGCACCACGACGCGCTTCCCTCCTCTCTCGCCGATTCGGAGGCTCCCCGGGTAAAGAAATACGATTCTGCGAAGTACAAGGCGAAGGATGAACATAGGGGCGTGAACTATGGGTATTATATTATGCGCACGGCCAGGGGTGGGGAACCGGTGTATGAGGATATAGTGAGGAATGGGAGGAAGAGGACGCTCATTCGCCTAGTGAAGGGTGACTCGAAGGTATGTTCTGCTCTCCCGCCTCCGTTGTATCACCACGGGAGGTCTGTATCCTCTGACCGAACTGAACGTTGGGCAGAAACTGCAGCAAGATCTGATGGAGACGTTGTTCAAGCCTCTGGGCGTGACGGAAGAGACGCTGCTCAGCCGGGTGAGGATGCCCGGACATGTGGAGTTCAGAGGGCATTGGAGGCCGCATGTCGTTGGGTGGATGAGGGAGAGAGGGTTTTGATGCGGCAAGTTGGGTCTCGACACGCTGGAGTTGGACAAGGGCAGTTGGTTTTGCAGTTGGTTTTGTGCTCGACTGGAAATTGTTGCTCAGAGAGAACTGCTCAATGCAATATCACAACATCTGACAAATCCATCCCCAAATCCCGTCCCAAGTTGGAGGGTTTGGCCCGAGATCCCCGCCGACATGTCAACTCCTTGATCAATATCCGCATAGTGTACATGCTAAAGTTTCTGTCTTGTTCCATCTGTGAACAGTACAAAACCACCAACTATCAATACCGGAATAACAGATCTTCCCGATCAGGGATCCGCCTGACTTGCTAGCCTTGTTCATTCATTACACATCCATGTTGGGCTCAACATTTAACGCTATACAAGCAGGGCAGTGACATGCGTCGACATTGCTCATAAACGTCGTCACACGCACCCGCGATGGCACTGGACTGGAAGACAGCGACGCTTGCTCCTGTACCTGGAGAGGAGAGCATCCATCTAAGGTACTTTGATACCGGCGTTCCTGAGGGCGTGAGCGAGCCATACACGACTATCATCGCCATCCACGGATTCTCCTCGAATGCTGGTGGGTCTGTCTTTTGAACAAGACCGTCTTCGCCGCTGATTTGTGATTACAGGCGCATGGGCGAACTCTGCCTCGATCTTCGCCAAAACCGGGTTCAGGTTCATAGCGCACAACAGGCGGGGATACGAGGGCTCTAGCGAGTATTATGAAGGACCAGTGAAGGATGCCGTAGGGCGGTACATGCTCGACCTTGCTGGGTTTGTACGGTTTGCGGTTGACGAGCTGGACATCCCCTCGAAGGACGCGAGAGGAAGAGGCGGCATCGTCCTGATGGGATGGTGAGCACTTACACACGTCAGCGATTGGCTGATTGATTGACGGCAACGGTAGGTCAAAAGGCACGGCGAGCGTCATGACGTTGCTCTCTCTCCTGGCCTCTCCTCAAGACCCGCCCATTTCACTGCCAAAGGGGCTCGACCTCTCTCCTTACCTCTCCGTCCTGTACACCCATCTCAGACATCTGATCCTCTTCGAGCCTCCTGGGGAGACGATCGGCCTTCCTTACACGCCAGACTACGCCGCCGTCATCCATTCCTCCAAGCCTTTCCTTCAGGCCTTCCCAGAATGGCTCATCCCTACCGTTCCGGAGGAGAAACGGCATTTGTTGGGCAAGAGCACGGATGTCAAGAACGCGTTGAAGGACTTTCCTGTATGGCTCGCGGAGAGGACTGACGAAAAGGAGTGTGCGAGGGTCGCCGAGGTTGGACTGAGGCATGTCCCGAAGGAGTTTGGGGTGGGGCTCGTCTGGTGTAGGTCTTTTTCCTGTGTTTTTGTCATGTTTGGCTAAGCGTCATATAGGCGAGACGAGCATCCAATGGTGTCGCGATACCGGTGCATGGATCGCGGAGCGTCTAGGCGACCAGCCCAACACGCTTGTTAAAACCATCCTCGGCGGGCATCATTTCTACAACATGACCGATTCTGAGGAGTTTGTGGAGACTATTGCGGGGTTGATCAAAGAATTGGATACGCGTGTGTACGGGTAGTATCGGATCTCTTCATCAGAGGTCTGTTTGTTTGTCGAGTGATCTGGGCTGATAGTTCCACGAGTGCACTGATCTCTGAATCAAATGCTTGTAGATGTCCCTTGTGAGGTACCTCCTTCTGCCGGCCCGAGGTTGACAAAGTGACCTCAAACGCCTTGACATCATGCACGCAAGACAAGAATATGGTGGAAGTACCTAACATCTCTTCAAGGCGGGTATGGCGGCCCGCTCGGTCTATCAATCAGACGAAGCTGAATGTTCCAAAGCCAAATGTTCAGCATCGAGCATTGTAGACGAGTTGCTTCTATTTTCATCTGAGCCGCATGCATGTTATGTATGCCTAACCCCATTCCTTTCATCTCCGTGCGGCGTCCCTATGTTCAATACACAGAAAATCTCGTGGCAAATTCTCATCGAGGTCGCTCCCCATGGGGAAGGGGTCCCGTGCGCCGGATTCCAACGCGTGAATGTCCTTCCCGTCCCTCATCGCGTGCCAAAGAAGTCTGATGTTGTTCTTCCCTTTCTTCCGACATTGAACACTGTACTCTGGCAAGATCCTCTTCAGCCTATATCCGTCCTCGCGAAAACGTTTGAATCGTTGGATAGACGTAACGAATCTCTGGCTAAATTGCCTTTTGTATCTTGCTGCCCGAGAAGTCTTGAGCACGGACTGACAAATGCACCGTTTTCGAACGTTTGCGGTTTACTTTCCCCGAGAGATGAGGAGAAGAAGATGCCCAACCTGGCAGCTCCTATCTCGAAGGAACTGTACTTAAGGGCAAGTTTTCAGGTCGAATCATAACACCTCGCTGGTGTCCAACGCGCGATTATATCGGTCATGATTTCGCTGGCGGTGTCCATTCTGCTTCTCGCCTCTTCTGTGGCTGCGGTGCCAGCTGCCGAGCGTGCCGTCTGTAGCACGCCGACGTATGTTCCATACAACAACGACAAGCTCCCGAACCCGTTCCTCTTCGACAATGGTCAACCGGTGCGGACGTTTTCTGACTGGGACTGTCGTCGTTCCCAGATTGCATCGTTGATTCAAGGCTACGAAGCTGGTTCACTGCCCGGAAGGCCCCAGGTTGTCAAGTCCGCTTTCTCCAGGCAGGGTACCAATGCCAACTTCACCGTCACTGCTGGGTCTTCGTCAAACACAATCTCCTGGGTGAATACTATCACATACCCGAACACCACTGCGCCGCAAGGCGGATGGCCAGTCGTCATCGCTTACGATGGATTGAGTATCCCCGTCCCTCCTGGGGTACGTTCCAGAACTCGACAGCATTGGGAATGATACTCATCCCAAACTGCAGGTCGCAGTCTTGACATACCCCAACTCCCTCATCGGCCAACAGAACAGCAGCCCCGCTAGTCGTGGGGTTGGGTTGTTCTACAACCTGTACGGCAATGTCACCGCTAGCGCTATGACTGCCTGGGTATGGGGTGTGAGCCGTATTATCGACGCGCTTGAGGAAAACGACTCTGCCAATCTCAACCTTGCGAAGATCGCAGTGACGGGTTGTTCTCGTGACGGCAAGGGGGCGCTAATGGCAGGTGCATTCGAGCCTCGCATTGCCTTGACGATTCCTCAGGAGTCCGGCTCCGGAGGCGACACTTGCTGGCGCTTATCCAAGTACGAACAGGACAGTGGCGACGTCGTCCAGCAAGCGACCGAGATTGTGATGGAGAACGTTTGGTTCTCTACCAACTTTAACAACTACGTCTACAACATCAGCCTGCTCCCGTACGATCACCACATGCTGGCTGCACTTGTCGCACCTCGCGGTCTTATTTCGTACGAGAACACCGATTACGAATGGCTCAGCCCACTGTCTGGGTACGGCTGCATGACCGCCGCCCACACAGTCTACGAAGCGTTGGGCATCCCCGAGTATCACGGTTTCGTTCAGGTTGGCAACCATAGCCACTGTTACTTCCCGCCCACTTTGGAAGATTCGTTGTTTGCCTTCTTCGACAAGTTCCTGCTTGACCAGCCCAACACGAACACGAATTACTTCTCCACTAACGGGGTGTTCAACGGAACCGTGTGGGATCCAAGCTACTGGATTAATTGGTCGACTCCTACTTTCTTTTGGTAAGCCAGTTTCCCGCAGTCATCAGCGAAGTCCCAGAGTAGTTCTGTGAAGAGATGTCCTGCAAATGAAATTAACGTTCTACAAATGTTCGCCATGCTCGATCATACTACTGCAGGGCGCAACTCGGACAGACAGTGTAATAACGGTGCTCACACTCCGATGTGGAGGCACAATCCGATAGATAACAAGACACACGGCCAAATCACTGACAAAGAATTAGGTATGAGATTCAAGCCGGTATGTAGGAGGTAAGCTATCTAGTACCAGTGAATCTGCTCCAGGGTTAGACAAGGGACGACATCGAAAACTGTGAACTCACCTCTTCACGAGACCGGCCACGCATGAACGGCGGCGAGGTGTTCTCATAGTAAATGTCGGTGAAGAGGTCCTTAGCCGTCGGCTCGGGGGAGGCTTTTGCGACCTCAACAGCCTCATTCACTTCGTCACGTGCCTGCTTGTCGAGGTCCTTGAGCGTATCCTCGGTCGCGACGCCCCACTCCTCCAGGTATTTTTGGAGCCCACGGATGGGATCCTGAGTGCTCCGCATCTGCTGGATCTCCTCACGCGTACGATAAGTTGTACCGGGGTCGGACATGGAGTGACCACCGTAGCGGTAGGTGACGAACTCGAGCAGAAGTGGTCCCTTGTCGTTGAGAACCCACTCACGTGCATGCTTGCATGCCTGGTGGACGGCGATGATGTCCATACCGTTGACCTGGATACCGGGAATATAGTCACCGCGAGTGTAGTACTGGGTGTTCGCAGAGCTACGCTCAGCGGAAGTGCCCATACCGTACTTGTTGTTCTCGCAGACGAAAACGCACGGCAGGTTGTGGAGCTTGGCCTGTGAAAGCAATCAGGAAGCAAGAACAAACATACACATGTATGCGGACCATGTTGAATGCCTCAAACACCTGGCCCTGGTTAGCGGCACCATCACCATAGAGCGTGAAAGTAGCCTTCTTGCTGCCCAAGTACTTCTGAGCGAGCGCAATACCAGCGCCGATGGGGACTTGGGCCCCGACAATCCCGTTACCGCCGAAGAAACGAGGGGTGAAGATATGCATCGAGCCACCCTTGCCGTGAGACATGCCATCCTCACGACCGAGTAGCTCAGCAATCACACCCTTGATCGTGCCCCCACGCATGACGGCGTAAGGATGGCAACGATAGGCCGTGATAACGAGATCCTCGAAGGTGATGGCTGACTCCAGTCCGACGGAGATAGCTTCCTGATAAGTATGTTAGCCACAACATGAAGGTACACCTGTTGGAGCGCTCGCCTGTCCGATGGCAAGATGGCAGAAACCACGGATCATCTTCGCCTTGTACAGCTGATCGGCAGCCATCTCCATGCGACGCATGGCCGACATCTTATGATACATGTCTAGCAACAGCTCCTTGGTCACATCCACCTCCTGAGATGGAACTTCGGTCTTGAAGCCATGGAATGCATTCTCGTGGAGAGTCAGCTTGAATGGCTCCGAGTGCGACTCTGGGATGTCAGACGTGAGCCTGGTGGAGTCGGACGTGGTCTGGACCGATCGGGCAAGCCACTACATAAACAATGAGCATATACGTGGCGTGTGAACTGAAAAGTACTCACCGCACGGCGGACAAGCGGGCGGCTCGCGGTACGGAGGGAGGCCAACATGGTAGCCGTTTTGGAGGGGATGTATGCGCGTTGCTGGTGGGCAGCGATGAGGAGCAAAGTGGATGGTCGGCGGCCCGGGGGATTTGATTTTGGTTCCGGCCCGCCCAGAACTATTCCCGTTTTGGCCGTCAGAATGCCGCCGTGGAGAGAGGGCGTTCGGACTGACGACGACGTTCACATCTAAGCAGCGACTTCCCATTCTTCTGCTGGCCGAAATTTGGCTAAATCCTACTTCGGCCGACCATCTGTACACTTGTACCATATTCTTGCTTATTAATGACCCGCGTACATGACGGACGACGAATGCTTGGGGATTTTGGAGGCGGTCAGTCCTCCATCACCTCCACCTGTGGCTTCTGCGATATCGCCCGAGACAAAACAAACACGCATACCTGTGCTGAACGATGACATTCTTCGATGCATCATCGAGTTTGCGGTGTCTCCCCGATCAGAAGACGCATTCATCTACGAACCGGGCACTACACAAGACATCTTGGCTCTGATCCATGTCTCTTGGCGTCTTCTGGAGTTCACGCGGCCATTTCTGTACCAACGAGTACATCTGACTAGCAAGCGTCAAGTGGACCTTCTCGTCAAACGAAACCCTCCCGCAAACCTACCGATACGCGACCTTACAATAGAAGGATCAGCACTCGAACATCATGATCTCTGGCCCTTGATTCGCGACGTCGGTGGCACCCTCGAACGCTTTTTAATAATCGACAATACAATGGGATTTGATATCCTGGGACAATGTCCCTACACGTACCTCGAATTCAAGACCCGCTTTCCCCGTCTTTGGGAAACATCAAATACGTTCAAATATCCGTATCTTTTCGATATCAGCGGTGTGGATAGGCCTGTCCCTGTCCCCGTTCCCGAACTACCCCATCTCAAGCGGCAGGCACTTCTCCGACTTGGCCATGTTCACTTCACCGACTGCTGGACATCGCTCGAAGTGTTAGCAACCGTCTCAAACAGCTCCCTGGACGCAAGCCTGCTTGCCGTTCTCATCGAGTCTCATCCAAGGCTACGCGAACTGATTCTCGTTCTTACACCCGAGAGGCGTTTAATGTTGCGTTCCAACAACGTCGTGAGAGCTAAACGGGAATTTGCGGTAAAATATCGCGGCCGTTGCGTCTTTTACGACGTCGATTCTGGATTAACTCGATCTTCCATGATGGAAACCTGGTTTGCCGAGGCAATTCGACGCGGTACGTTGTGGACGATGAAGCGCAAGAATTGGCTCTCATACCAATAAGTGGATCGACGATGGAGTTCCTTCAAATCTGGAAATCGTGAACCCCGATCTAGTTGAATCGTCACGGTACAAGCACCAGCATTGGACCAGAGAAGTGTCAATAAAGGCATACGCCGACTCGACGGTTTCATGACACAGCATTTAACGCACGCAAACAACGCAGTGTCATACACATTCTGGGTGGCCATTAGCCATCTAGGATCGATCATGCACCATTCAGGACATGGATGATGGAGATTGATATGGATCCAGGGGAGGTTGTGACTGAAGAGGGTTTGCAGTGTTTGAACATCACCAACTGTGACGACTGATCTTCCTCTACACTGGCCACTGTACAATGCCAATATGTATGCTTATGTTTTGTCCCTTCTGCACGGGCGTTTAGGTACGCGAAGCACAGTCCTAAAAATAAGGGGTGTGGGGGTCTCACGTGCGTCTACGTAATGGATGAAACACACTATAAACATCCCTTCCGGCCTGGCATTCCCCCTCCTTCCCCTTCACCCCATCCCTCCTTCTTGTCCTATCCAGCCCAAATGTATGCTCTTCCTGCTACCCGTCTCATCGCCCGTCGCGCACTCCGCGCTCCAGTGACCATGGGGAGACGCACCTTCATCACGCTCCAAAAGGTCGCATATACTGCCGAAGCAACTGGTGCCTCTTCCTCCTCTGTCCCGCCACCTAGTGCTAACGTGATTCTCTGTCTTCACAGCAACTGGCGGAGGGCGCAATGGTACGTCTAGCTTGAACGATGGCAGTTTGAGCATCAAGATGGTTCCACCCAAGGAGCTGGGTGGGAAGGGTGACGGACATAACCCGGAGCAGCTGTTCGGTGCGCCATATCTCCCACCCCATCTTCCAAAAGGAACTCATGTTTTCTTTCGGTGATTTTATCTCTTTTGATTCAGTGCCCTAGCTATCGGCTACGCTGCCTGTTTCCTCGGTGCTCTCCGCCTCTCCGCCTCTCGCCTGCACCTCAAGCTTCCCGACGAGACCACCGTTAAATCCCATGTTCACTTGGGTCCGTACGGTCCCGGTTTCGCCATCGCAGTAGACTTGGATATCCATGCACCTGGGATGGAAGCAAAGAAGGAAAAGGTGCAAGAAGCCGTGGACAAGGCACACGCAGAAGTGTGCCCATACTCGAATGCTACAAGGGGCAACGTCGATGTGAAGCTTAGTGTGAGATGTGACTAAAAAGGACGATGGGAATATGTGTGTGCAGTTTTTCCCAACATAATGTTGGTCGCGCTAATACTTTATCGTAGAGTTCGATGTTATTTAGGACTGGCGAGCCATTTGATATATCCGAATTACATGGTCAAGATGCCTAATGATCAGGCACGCATGATGTCAAAAATGCTGCTCGGTGGTCAGATCGGCTTCTCCTCTGAGGAATAACTTACTTGACGCTCGTCCTTGCATTTCCCGTCTCGACAAAGACCAAATTATCCGCACAGCTCGAGCCCAAGCTCGCCGGTCCAACCCATCCTGGTTCCCAGTACAAGATTCCTTGTCCGAGTCCCCGAGGCAACGAATCAAGCACGTTGACAATGCCACTGACCCAGTCTTCCTGTCCCTTGGGCGTGTTGGGGAACTCCTGGCTCAGGGCGGTGCCGTTCCAGGGCGTTGCCGGGTAATCAGTCTCTGCGACGAGGATGGGCTTGTCGTAAGTGTTCGCAATCGTGTTTAAGGAGAGGCTCAGGTTAGCGTACGTCGCGCTTGTCCCGTAGAACGGATCTGTGGCGCCAGTGAGTTCAATTCAGCCCAACCCCCTCGGCTGCTTGTGCCTCGCTGCAACACAGGCGGTGAGGCAAAGACGAAACGTACAGAACGAGAACCCCATTAAGTCGACACCATTCAAGTCATACGTCCCCTGCGCGAGGGCGTTACTCCACCACCATGTCGCACCCGGCTGATCCCATCCGTTAGCAAGATGGATCATCACCTTTCCACCGAAGCGTGCCGCGCGCGCGCCCTCCCGGGCCGCATGCAGGTACGTGGCGACATTTGCCCACCCCTGGGGAGTGGTGTTCTCTCCTGTCGGCCAGAGAAGACCGGAGTTGATCTCGTTCCCGGTTTGAAGAACGTCGATCGGCGTGCCTTGCGCTGCGAAAGCAAGGACAACGTCCTATTCATTGATCACATTCTGTTAGATCGAACAGCGCCTGCTGGTGACGAAAACACGAACCCGGGTATAGTTGTATCTGGTCAGCAAATCACCGGGTGTCAACATCGCTAATCAAGGAACGAGAAAAGACGCACATGTTCACCGTCAGCTCGGGCACGGTCGTACCCCAAGCGACAGGCTGATATTGCTTTCCCGGATCGGCCCAGTCTGCTCCGATATCAGTGTACCAGCATGAATCGTGTCGAAACGAAGCAGAAAAGAAGGAAGGACGTACTATCGCTGTAGTGCAAGTCGACCATTAGAGTCAAGCCCGCCTCTTTGATACGCTACCCGCCCTTTACTATATCATCCTCCCCATCTGCACGATGTCACGTACCTTTTCCATCTCTAGAGCGTACGTGATGTTGTAAGTCGAAGCTGTCCAGACCCGCACACGTACTGCATTCATCCCATGCCTAGAGACGATCGACTCGAATTTGCCAGGCACGCCAATCACATCCTTGTAGGTCACGCCAGCTTGCTCTACCAGGATGACTGAAGAGATATCGGCCCACTATGGATGAGGGCACGGGTGGAGAACACCAGTAGCAGCGTAGAGAGGAAAGAGAAGAGCAGCATCATTCTTCCTTTACCACGAGCGGCGACATGTCGAATAGTGGATGATGGTCCTATATATATGTGGGTTTTAGATGGAAATGTTTAGGGATATGTTTGCGCCGAGTGGAGGATTGCAATACAGCTCAAAGAACACGTCATTGTATTCACGGCAGAACTGCCAACATGGCACGCTCTGAAAAACATGTGGGCGCACGGAAAGAAGCAGGAGAGGAGTCAGGGGACCAGCGCATGGAAGCATAGAAGCTTGAACGGGCATGCCTACAAAAAACCATCCAGAGCTCGCTCACACATTACCCCACTGACAGTATGACTCTCCGTGAGAGAATGGGAGGATAATAGAATGAGCAAATGAGAAAAAAATCAATTACCCAGACATAAATACATCTCTGACCAACAGAATCACACGGTCCTTCGGGGGAATGGAGTCTGGTCAGTGTGTTGAAAGGAACGCGGTGCGCCTTCGGCGCTAGGGCAAGGCATTCGATGTACGATGTCCCTCCTGGATCCCGCTAAAGCTTGGAACGCTGAACTGGCTCCGCTTCTCGAGCTCGATCGCGCAGAACCGTGCGGAGGATCTTCCCCGAAACACTGGTCTTCTTCAACACTCAGATCTTTTTTTGCGTCTCACAAAAAAAACGTACCTCTTCGGAATTGCATCTATACACACCACACCTAGAACAAAAGGTAGTGCGTTCCTCGTGTATCAGCATGAGCACACACCGCCCCTCAGTTGCTTGTACTGAGACACGTGAGTTATATCGTTGCAGAAAGGGGTGAGGACCAGCTCACATGAGCGACCCTGCTCTCCAACCATTCTTGTACCTCCTTGGCTAGCTGCACCTGTCCTTGCGCATCAAGAGAGCCCAGTCCACCTCTAGGAACGATGTATCCCCTTCCGCTGATAAGCTTACGCAGGGAGGATGTGGAAGTACGCTCACCTTGGTAACTCGGTGGCTTCTGCTTCTTACATCAGGCCGATGACAGCGGCGTCTTGCACTTGCAGGTGGGATAACAATAGGCCTTCCAGTGCGGAGAAGAGAAATGAGATTACCACATACAATCATTACAGCGGTTCAGGATCCTTATAGGTGGCAAGGAATGCCTGAGGATCCTCACCCAGCTTCTTCAAGCGCTCTTCGTCCCAAGAAGTGGGTTCCTTGCCGTACTGCTTGATGTACTCCTTCACGCTCATGGAGCGTTCACCGGCCGGCGTCGTACGAAGAGCACGGCGCTTGTACGGGTATATATCCTAAGTGGCCTATGCAGGACCAGAGTCAGTCCGCCAGAGTCAGTCCGCCAGAGTCAGTCCGCCCTGCATGTATAGTTGCCAATAATAGCAGTCTCGTCGGTCGCAAGTCCGTGGCTAGGCTTGCCTCAGTAGTACCTACTTCGGCCGATGAAGCATTCATGAAGAAAAGGGATGAACAGGGGTGAAACGACATGGGGTCGTGAATTCTGATTAGATCCCAATATACCGAGCCTGGATTGCATCTTGTTTCATCTCACGTCCGCGGAAGTTGTCGTGTGCGCTGATTGTATTGTGAAGGCGTTGTTGGTTATTGTCACGTAGGAGGTTCGCAGTCATCAGGCGGATTCCGGCAATGGCCGAGTTGTCGGATAATCAGATTCGACAGATGTTTTGCAGTCCGCGTAAATTTAAGGTGACCATGTGGTAGGCCAAGCAGGTTGATCGAAGCGTCCGGAGACGAACAAGAATCTGGGTAAACAGTCGTGAGAGGACGGAGGAAGCCGTACAAGGCAAGGCGGTACATTACGGCGTGCCTTTGCATCCGTTCATTTCGGTGCGGGTTTATCAACACCGTAACGGGTATATCAGCCCCGCCAAGCTAAGGGGAGGCAACCACATGTCTGGAGAAATTTGTATCTAATCAGATATGCCCGAAACAGGTGCTCGACGCATGTGGACTTTTATGGAGACGCGGAGCGGACAGCTCCCTGACCCCTGCCGCGCGACCTATCACCAGCCCTCCAGACCCTTCCCTTCCTCCCCAGACCCATACCCAAGCCCCGGAACCCTACCTTTTTTTCCACTTTTATCCTTAGCAAAAACTGCCTGCATTAAGCACATAATTATGCCTCCTTCCCCCAGACCCCAAATTCCCCTCCCCTCTCATCCCAAAGGTGCAGGGATCCATACCCAAAGTCAGAGGGATCCATACTCAAAGTCAGAGGGATCCATATGCAAAGTTGGAGGGATCCATATGCAAAGTCAGAGGGATCCATATGCAAAGTCGGAGGGATTCATATGCAAAGTCGGAGGGTTCCATACAACTTAATATTACACCCATCCATACTCCATACTCATCACATCATATACCATCCTCTTTTCTCTACTCTCAACACTATGTTACTCCTTCCTCCTTTGTCCCAGCAATGTCATCAGGAACTCTCTTGGCCCTGCAGGCAAGCTCTTTTCATATTCAATTGCCTTGGGGTTGCACCACACCTAAAGCACACCCAATCATTCCCTGCATTACATGTCACCTATGTTCACACACATACCTTTTTCTTGTTGAAACCCCGAACAATCAACTCTTTTGCGGTTCTTGTCCTTGACACACCAATGTATACCTGCCCTAATTCCCTCAATCAGCAACATCCCGTTACTATTCTTCCCCATCATACCCCAGCAAAATGCCCATTCAAGATGCACAATTGCACAATCCAGTGTCAACTCTTGCGCCTTGTGAATTGTGACTGCCCAGGCCAACATCATTGGAAACTAACATTCCAGCAATCACTTGTCAGCAATCTTTCCCCAACACATATCCAACCTCTTGCACCTGTTCACGTACCAACTGGTTTCCCTCACTGTCCCATGCTTTCCATGTTTCTTGCTCCATCAGCACTAATCTCTTTCTTTCCCTTGTATTCACCAACCACTCCACCACCAGTTTTCCCCCATTCTCTGATGGCACATTCCTCCATTTTCCATTCCACCCCCCATTCCATGAAGATGGTGTTGTGAACCCAACAACTATTCCCAGACTTCCATTCACCAGATTGTTCTCAGCATCATTCCAAAGATGCATCACCAAAGCACCTTTCTTCAATACGAGTCACTCCAGCACTGCTATGTTGCATGCCATCTTTTCTCTCTTCTTCACATCTCACATGTTTGATGTATCTCTTGCTCAGCATGTCCCCTTTTCCCCAGAAAGGTTGTTCAGCAGTGTCCTATTCTGTGCTTTGATCTCATTCACATTACAAAACCTGCAGTCCCTGTAAGCAACAGCCATGAGGTAATACCCCCTTACACTTCCACACATGGCCCCTCATCCTCCCATGTTGGCTCATTGTCTAGGCCCAGGAAGAAGTCTTCCATCTCCTGAGGTACGTGACCCATTTGTAAGTTGTTCAATGCAACAATGTACTCTACCCATTGCACAATTATTCCAACATTTGAACATTCCCACATCAATTCACCCACCTAAGTCTTGCTGATGTAGAATTGTTTTGAATCTGATCTTTCACTCCATACAAATGTCCCATTTGTCTGCCATGAAAAAAGGAGCTGTTCCACCTTTCTTGCTTTTCCTTGGTATTGGCAGTAACTGCAATGCATCCCCTGTTACAAGTAGCTAGTCCCCCTACTTTTCAATTTCCTTGTTCTCCCCTTATAGATAACTACTTACTTTGATACCTCCAAAAGCCTTGTCATTCTGTTGCAATTTCCAAGCTAAGCCTTCTAGCAAGTCAAACAGGTCCACATGTATCATTGAAACTGATCCAACATCAGCTCTCCCCTGATGACACCCCTCCTCACTCACCCTCATCAATAATCAACAATTTCACTTGCTGCCAGCACTCCACAAGTGTTGGTTTCTTCAAGATTCATTTGCAGTGCATCTTCAGTGTCCCATATCCATACCCAATTCCTGCCCAAGAGTGTAACATCCCCCCATGTATCCCTCTTGCCATAAGACCAGTTGAAGCAGTTATTCCAATTTCATCAGCACCATATTTTTCACCCAACTTCATGATCAAGTGCCAGAGTAAGTATGATTTCCCTGTTCCTGAATAATTATCAGTCTCCACCTGTTCCTCATACCCCTCCCCTACATACCAGCCAGCCCTGTGAAGAACACGCTCCATACTTCTTCAACCCACTTGCACACCAAACTTTGCTCATTTGACAAGTCTTGTCCTCAGCTGACCTCACCATGCACTGGTTCATCATCCTCACCTGTCACCTGTACACCCCCTCAATGCACCCTCTCCTCCTCCATTACCTCCCTCTCTACCTCATCTTCCTCCTCTCCTTCATCTTCACTTCTCCCAGACTCAGACTCCCACTCTGACTCAGAGCTAGATCCCCATCCAGCCCCACTCTCAACCTCAGAAACAGACTCAATAGAGTCTGTCAACTCTTCCTCTTCCTCCATTCTCATCCTGCCTCCTTTTACTCCCCCTCCTTCCTCTTCCTTTCTTCTTTCCCCCTCTCATTCACCTTCTCTTCCCTCTCCTTCATCTCCTTCTTCGACCTGTCCTCTGCCCTGCCGGTCTTTCTGTCACTCTCCCTCTTCCCCTCCCCCTCTCCGTTCACTTTCCCCTCCTCCTTCTAGCCAATCCGCTTTCTCTCGTCCTTCTACCCCACCTCTTTCTTCCCATTCACCACTTCCCTGTCAAACACCTCCTGCTCCACTGCCGCAACCTCCTATTTCTCATCCACCCCAACTTTCTTCAACCCCTCCTTCTCCTCCCCCTACTTCATTGTTCCATTCTTCACCCACCTCACCTCCCTCACCCTCACCATCAGCTTCCAATTCTCCCTCTCTCTGTCTTGTATTGTTTTCTCCCTCCCCCTCAACCCCCCCCTCCTTCTCTGCATTCCTCTCCACCCCATTTTCCTTCACTTGCCCACATCTCATTGCTGTAGACCATTCGTCCCTCTTGCCTTCCCTTCTTCCAAATTGGGATTTACAAACCTCATCAGTATATCCATAAGCTGTTCAACATGCTATATATGCACACCTACTGCCTGAGAACCTGTTGCTATCTCCCTCTTGTCCCCTAGCAACAGAAGCCCTATGCTAAGGTTGTTGATATTTAGGAACCCCAGCCTCCCTCAGTACTCCAGAGACTTTTCCCCTCTGTGTCTATCATATAGACCACCTTTCTCCTCATCAAAGTACAAATGCGGCCATGACATCTCACTTTTTACACCTTCAAGTTTGATTTGATCAATACCAAAGCCAGTTCCTTCTTAACAGAAGGTCTCAATCTCTCAATCACCAACCACAGTGAACAACCCCACCTCTGGTAGGGTGTGTCAGGCCAATATTCCCATGGCTATTTTCGGGCCTTAGAGACCATTGCAGGGTACTACGGACCCTCACTATGTGGACAACATGCCCCAGCAATGAGCCTCGGCCCACCACGGATATTCGGCATGGTGACTACTATGATTCCCCAGGTGACAGGACTACTTGGATATTTGGCATGACGACAGCAGGTTTCCTCTGCAATGGGATCAAGCCACCCAGATATTCGGCATGCCAATGCTTGCCTTAGAGAGGTATCTGGAGACCAGCTTAGTATAGAGTACAGTTTATGGTAGTTAGTATAAGTAGTTTCCAGAAACTCCTGTATCTAGCTTATTCTGCCCCTTTTCTGATAGCAATTATATGGATCCGATTATCCCCTTACTGGATAGGCAGATTTGACTTGACTCAGTATACTTGACTTGACTTATTGTGACACTTGACTAGATGGACACCAAGCTCCGATTATTGCAGACTGACTTTCAATAGCTCAGCTACAGGCTGACTCCCGCATTTATACCAACTTTCCCCATCTCTCCCCTCTTTTCCAAGCGAGTTCTTGCACACCACCCATCAGACTGATATTTTGGACACCTCTTGGGTTGGATCAGTGGTGGCCATCCCAAACAACTCAGCAGCACGTGGCAGGCCGACCCCACTCCAACTGCTGCCGTACTCACTATGCCCTCATTGCATCCTCATCCATGTCCACACTTGACCTCTTTGACTTCCAGAACTTAATTCTTTCTGTACTTCCACCAGCCATAGATGACCTTATCTTGCTATGGGAAGCATTCTACACCAACCTGTCTGCTCTGCCTCAAGATATCAATGACAAAGACCTTCTCAATCAGGTCAGCTTCATTGTCTGTCACTGCCTACTCTCCCTATTTCCTTCTCCTCACTGATCCACTTCATAGAATGCCTGGCTTTCATTATATCAAGCCTTCCAACTAACTACTTGCTTACCCTCCTGCCTTAAGAATGCCATCAAAAAGATCCTTGCTGTACACTGCACGGGCAACAACCGTTTCTCACAGATCAACCTTGCAACCCCTGCTCTTCCCTACAACAAATTCATGCAGGAATTGGAAGGATATCATTGTGATCCTACTACTGACCTAATAGATGGTTTGGATCCTACCACCAGTGCAATCTTGGTCTATTATGCTCATAATGGAAACCAATGCACTATACCTCTAACTCTCCTTGACCAATTGATTCTCGTCCATGGGTCTGCCTATGGAGAACTTGTCTCAATGGCCTCTGCCTACCATGGAGAACTTCGATCCAAGCTGATTAGGATTACATGGCAGAACTTCATGATGGATATATGGGTATGCCCCTCCCCCTATAATCTAGTCCTTCCCTCATTTCTCCCACAGACAAGCACCTTTTGTTCTGCCAATGAGCTTGACCTCCCCAGAATTCATGGCATTCTATATGGCAGGCTTTGTGCCACAAGCATTCATGTTTGTTTGGACATCTCTTTTTTAGGCTTCCACCTCAACACTAGTCTCCTCAGCACTCCCTGGTTCCCATCTGAGGTCGTCACCTATCTTCAAGGTCGTGAACCAGCATCCTGGCTATTCCAGACCACCCACAATAAGCATTTGCACAACCCATCATGGTGGACAACTCCCCCCCCTGCATGCGAGGAATTTCTTCAAGCAGAAATCAATCGAGTCCATCTACCCTGACTCCGTACTCTTCTTCTCCCTAACTGAGCCACATGGCAAACTCAGGTTCATGGCAAGGCCCTCAAATGGTATCTTCTCAAAGTTGGTGGTTACATTGTAAGCCTCTTCCATGTCCTTTCCCCCTTTCCTACAGCCCCTCAATCTCCTTCCAGACTGAGACCCTCTGTGCATCAATGATCTACTCTGTCCCCCTCAGTCCAATCATCATTGATGTTCTTCTTGACATTGTCTCTTCAATAAACTCTCTCTTGGACAATCATCAGCCATGTCCAGGAGATAAGCCACCCAGGATCCCCTTCCCTGCCCAACTTTTCCCTCTTGTTGATGATGAGACCTGCTACCTAATACATGCCACTGGCTTCAGGGGTATTGCTCTCATCAGTCACAGCATCATTTGGTCTCATGATGCTGATACACCTGCGCACCTACAAGCTTTCCAGGACCACCTCTCAATCACCAAAACTTCTGCCAAAAAAGTGCTTGTCCTCCATGAAGCTTGTGAGTTCATGGTGTGGACTCTTCAAATTGGTTATTCTCTCTTTCCCTCACATCCTATTTCAGGGCATGTTCTTCCCTGCCACAGATCCTTGTGCGCTCGCTAAACTCCCCAATACTACAGTTGCCCTCACCACTTCCCTCCTCAATACTGCACATCAGATGTCCCTCCTCCATGAAGACATCAAACCATTTTTCCTGGTGGTTATATTTGTACCAAGGAACATTCGAGAAGCTGCTTAACAACAATATTCTTCATGGTATCAAGACAGGGACCTTTCTCTTGATATCCGCCTTGCTTGACTTTGCTTGCCTCCTTTGACCAAACTCCCATCTCCTCCCCACCTCCTTCTGCCACTCTCTTACCCCACAGTACAGGTACTCGGCAAGCACTGACCAAAGACTCCACTTCATCAAAAAACAGTGACAATCCACAGACCAGGAAGAGGACCTGCGATGCTCCCTCTCACACTGACAGCCTTGATCAACAACTTCCTCATGGCATCAATTGTGACAAAGAATATCTACACAGGTTGTTCCAACCTCCTCCAGATATGTCAGATCCTCCTCCTAATAATTCTCTCTCCAGACTGCCTATTTACCAAACCCCTCACTCGCTTTTTACCCCTTCTCTCCCACATCACAATCTACCTAATACCCATTGGACCAGTTCTCACAAACCAATCACCATTGATCATGACCATGATTCTAACCCAATTCCCTCTATCAACAATGATCAGTCATCTTCACCATCCCTACAAGATCACCCTGACTCCTCCAACTCCAACACTGACATTTCCTTCCCTGCACTGGGCCACATCCCATCTGTCAGGCATGATCCTCATTGCAAAGACACCAACACCCCTTGGGGTCTCTACTATACCCATGCTGAATTTGCTTCACCACAAATAAAACTTGCTTTGCCTACCATTATGAAATGATACAAAGATTCCCATGGTGTACTTTGAAAGCCAATGCTCCATCCTTGAGGGGATGAAGATCCAGAATGGCATTCTCCTGTATGACCACACAGGTCAAATGTTGAACATATCAAGACCAACAGTTGCATGGCCTACTGGCAAAAATGGGGCTTTGTCCTCATCAGGTATCAGTGATGGCTACTTCTAGTATGCTCGCTCACACCCTTCCCAATTGTTTTACTCAAACATCCATCTCACCAGCTCATGCATGGAATATACCAATGTCAGTGGTGTCAAGGTTCCATTAGCATGGACGTTGCTTCCCAGGCAACTTCTCTTCAAGGAGCATCCAGTCATCATGACCCCTCCTGGGACAAATCTTGTTGGCATTTCCTTGGACAGCATGAAGAAGGGAATCCACAAGGTGCCAGCCATGGTATGAATTACAGTAGGTGCAAGCACACCAAGGGCACTGGGTGCATGCACCATACCCTTGAGAGAAAGACCAGTATGAGCCTCCCATTCTTATCCCAAATACCATTTCACACCATTTCCCCAGTTCCACCTAGGATTTGGGATATGAGCTTCTACTTCCCCGCAAATGATCAGGACAAAGACAAACATTCCCCTCCAGACCCTGCTAGCCATGAAGTTTGGGTCTTTCTTCAAGACTTGCTCACTCTCCCCAGCCCCCCACAGTGGCACAACAAGTGGGAAGCAAATCAGACATACAAGGGCAAAATCTGATCTGATGATTTTAAGGTGGAGAAAAAAGCACAGAAGGAGGCTCAAAAGCATGCAGGTGCACAACAACTGGACCAATCAATCATGGCACTCTAGGTATTAGTCCTCTCATGAACATATTACTCCCTGTTCCCTAATTTTCTATTCCCTTTCCAGACTATCCCCTCTGTCTCCCACCTCTTGCCACCAAAACCTGCCACCACCACTCAGCATATCTCTCCATGCCCCATGATCCAACATGAACCCGTCTTCTGTCACCCTGAACCAAACAATCAGCACTCAATCCATCATTCAGGCATGCCCTTGCCACTTCAAAACCTTCCACCTCTCACAATCTCAGTTCAAAATTTCAGATCCATTCCCATCGCATACATACCATCATTTTCATGCCTTCGGGCCTTCCATAGAAGAAGTCAAGGGGATCCATAGAAGAAGTTGAGGGGATCCATAGATAGTGCCAACCATTCATACCTCTGCTTGCAGGCATGCATCACCACATACCTGTTCCCTTTATTACCCTTCTTCTTACATCCTTGCTACCTCTAGATCAACCTGTATCACCTCAGTGTTACCAATTTCCAATCTCCATACTGTTCCCCCTCCCCAAATGGTTTATATCTTCTTATGAATATACACCTTGACCCTCATCCATCTTCTGTTACTTCACCTGTCAATCACCTGTCTCAATGACCTCCCTACCTGCTCCACCTTCTGTTTATCAAAATCTCTCCCCAGCTTTCTCTGTCACCAAATGCCAATGTTACTCTCTCATCACTCAGCTCAGTATGTATCTCAAACTCCACCATACCCACCCCTTCAATCTCATCTTACTATCAGAACAACATGGTCATAGCCCTTCTAGCTCTCCCCTGATGTCTCACCTCTCCCAGCTACTTATTGTCATGTGGGAAGAGCATGATCATCTGGAATCTGCTCATTTGCAGCAATGGGTTGAACTACATTGCTCCCTTTGTCAAGGCGATCTCCCCTTTCACCAATGGCTCCATCTCCACTACAATCTTTTTCTCATTTGAGAATGCACCTTACTTGCCCAAGAATGGGTGTTTCAGGATGAGGTTTCTACTGCATTCTCCTTATATCCACTCACTAATCCCATTTCACAAATTCCCTCATCACTTCCTTGTTGACTGCCCACTTCCCAATGCCATTTAGACATCATATGAACTACCATATATCAGGCTTACCCTTCTATACACTTCAATATATTATTAAATGCTTCACATTGACATACAGTAAACAACCTAGTCCCCCCACTTTCCTTTCTACCATCAGTGCTTTTCTTCTTCTTCTTTTTTTCCTTTTCAGGTTCAACCAGCACCAACCCCCCCCCTCACAAAAAACAGTAAATCTTCCACAGCCTCCCCTCCACTCATACCCATACTTACCCCCTATACCTCCTTTTGTGCATCCATTATGCATATCTCCACCACATTCCAGTCCAGACCCCCTTCAATCTTTCCCTTCTCCCCCCCTCCAATCTTCTCCTTCAACATCCTGTTTGAAAGGTGTTAAGCCATAGGCGTTACAGTACTTGTTGCAAACATGTTCTTCTCAGAAAGCTTCAAATGCTGTTCCCAGATTCCCTGCTCCAAACAGTCTCCCGGAAAGTGTAGTGTGTATATCATAGAAATGGTTAGTCTGACTTCCTTCTCAATTACAAACAGCGCACAGATTGGTCATGATCTGCAGATCTGTCAGCAGAGACCCAACCCCTGCAATTGGTCAGTCCTTTGGCCTCTCCACACTCAGAGATATCTCACCTTGGTAATCACTGACAAACACCATCCCCCTCATTTCCATGTATTGCAGATGCTGTGAGAAGCACAAGAATTGAGCCAGCTGCCCTTCCTGCCTGAAGTCCAATACTGGCCATGCACTCATGTTATGAACATATGTAACAAACTCACCACCATCCAGCAGTTCTTCCACCAGGTAGTGAACATGAAGCCTCCCTTTCTTGCTGCCATCCTTTGTCTGACAAGGTTGAGTCACCCAGAACAGCCCAGCCATGACAAATCGAACCAATGGCCACTTGACAGACCTAATTGGATCGGAAACCGATCCACTCTTTCTCTGTTCTTCCACACATTCTTCCACCATCTTTTGTAAGGATATTGCCCACAGAAGAGAGGTTCCTTCTCCAGCTAACTTCAGTTCTTCTTCCACTTGGGTCATTTGTATCATCTGGCCACCCCCACCTCCCTCTGTCCCCCCTGCTCAAACGTACCACCTCTTGAAAGCTGCCCTTGTCTGAACACCCAGGGAAAATGGTTTTGCGTTGCACCTGTCCCATTCTTTCACCTCTTTGTATAGCACCATCTTCCCAGGATGCACCATTTTTAAGCTCCCTGGTTTCCCTAGCTCATGGTTCCTTTGCTCATCCACAATGATACCTCCTTGGTAACTGCCTTCCCTCCACTCCAACATGAAAGTCTCCCAGTTCTTCACCAGGTCATTGAACCCAAGCACAGGAACTGGCAGGAATTGCCCCATTTCCTGGTACACATCTGCATCTAGTCAGCATCTTATCAAATACAGACCCAATCTGGCACACACATGCAGCCAACACAGCTGACTCAATCTCTACCATACTTTGTAGCAAGGCAGCCCAAATATCCTCCACCAGCAGAGCCTCTGTTGTCAAATCTGTGTGGTATTCATGCATTGTAGTCTGCTTTCCCTGCCAACCAATGGTGTTTTCCACATCCTATTCCTCTGATTTATATTTGTTTCACCCTTGTTATCACCTCATGTACCACCATAATAATGCTCTGCATCCTCTTTTGACCCCTTTCTCTGTTGTCCTGCCCTTTGCTGAGCCCTTCATGTTCCATCCTATCAGCCCCCTGGCTTGTGTCTTTCTGTCTTGTTCATCTCAAATGGTTGCCATCCTCTTCATGTTCTAGATGGGTGTTCAGTCAATTGTACACTTTAGGTTTCATCACCAGTCAAAGTTCGAACCATTTACCAGTCTGGAATTTTTGGACTGATCCTTTCAGCTTTCCTCTTGGTGCTGAGAAACACACACTGTACAGCAGAGGTGTCACATCATTAAATCTGTCACTCTGGAAGTCAGTCCCATCTTTCCCCCTCAAATCGAAATCGTTGACTTTGAACACAAATCCTTTCAGCTTCTCAAACAATTTCCTCTGCACTAACCCAGCTAGTGTCATCTTCACTTGAGCTTGGGTACTCTTAGCTGGGATTTCCTTGTTGTCCTTGAAATTCTACCACCATCTATCAGTACCCATCATGATTATCCCTTTTCTGGTGAGCATACCCAATATAACCTTGACCCTTGTTTACCCTCCTTGTAGTAATCAATGCCAAACCTTATGTGGTAGGTTTCTGGGGCAGACGTGGCATACGTTTGCTTTGAGATTCAATGCAGTTCCTCCTGATAAAAGGCATGGTCAGGAGTGTATCCCCTCACACTCATGCTGCTCCAGCCAGAAGAACCTCTGCTCTTTATCCCTCCCAAGTTTGAACCCTCATTGAACATCCCCCACTTTGAGGGAAAGCTCTGATGGCATTGACATGGCTTGATCCTGCTACCAACACTACATCAGCAACATCTTCGTCTGTGCAATTAAAGGGCGCACTATTTCATTTGGCTTCTTGATTCAGCTTTCTTAACTTGTCCTGTGCCTCTGCAAGCAGTGTGCCACAATTCCTTCTGAAATCGGCAGTTCTTGTCTCATGACCAGTATGTGTTTCCACCACCTTTGTTCCCATCTTCCTCTGATAGTACACAAAGTCAGCACCACATACAATCAGCATGGTGCTTCCATTTGACATTCTTTGCCAGGGTGTTCCAGCAGGAATACATCCTTCATTCCGACCAAAGGAGGTACAGTTACTGCCTCTGTGACAGAATTTGTCTTTGGGCAATAGATAGGTAACTCCCGCAGGAAGGAGCACAACAGATTCCATCATGTCATCCATTGTCCACTTTGATATTTCTTTTCACCCTGCTTCAGTCCACTGGGGCTGCGCAGAGCTACTCTCAGATTCATCCCCAACATCTCTATGAGCATAACGGGCACTCACTGTATACCGCTGCCACAATATGTCCTGTTGTGGCAGTATAGTCTTCTCAGACACCCTTCATTGCTATCTTATATGTTGACAAGGTGGGTCATAGGTGGTGGCACCCTCTTCAGTAGGAACATCACCTTTACACAAATTTCTCTTCTTCCAAAGAATTGAGGCAAGTACTATGTTCTTGGCCCAGTCCGATCATTGCATGATTTCAGAGTAATTTCCAGCACTAGCATCTACTGTTGGTCTCCCGCTTGAGATCAGTGATGGTGTTTCACTGAACATGCGGGATGACTACCACTCAGTGGGTTGAGTGATGCTGTCAGGGCATGCTCTCAAAGCAAGATGATGATTTGACCAGTAACCCAAATAAAAGACGAGCCACAAAGGGGCACAGTTTGGAGTGGTTCAGATGAGCCTCAAGTAGACAAAGATGAACAATAGTCAAATGGGATAACACCCAAGACAGTACAAGTCAATCTCAGTGAACAGTTGGTTTGGCAGATTCAGAGGTAGAGACCAATGACTTCAGTTCGATTCACACCAACAAATGCATGATTCGACAAAGCAGAATTCCTGAGATATCAGCTCTGAGGGGCATAGGGCCCCTCATGCTGGGTATATATGTCTATCTAGAAAAGGAGGCAAAAGGGAAGCAGAACTGTGGCTGAGGAACTGTACATTACCAAATCTGTGTTGACAGGGCCATGAATGGTGAATTGGTGGTCCAGCCAACCACTCCTTGATTTGACATATACTTCTGGTCCGAACCAGGGTTTACCAGGCATTTGGTGGATGAATGTTGCTCCAAATTGGTCTGAACTTGGCATACCCTGACAGATGCATCAACACCATGATAAGTCCTTATTCAGGGGTCATCAGGGAAACCATCCTCCCTGACTCAAGCATGCTGACTCATCTTTAATAGTGCTTCCCCCTTGATCCTAAGTAGGGATTCATTCCCTTCACAACCATTACCCATCATTCTCCAAACATCCTCTTCTCTGACTTGTTCTTCTCCTCATTTGAACCATGATCACTCCTTTCCAAGATCATCCAGTCCCTTCCATACACTGCCTGCTTTTCATTACCATTGGGTTTTCAAACTCCATCATGATCACACACATCCACTGTTGTGCTCAGATTTTTGCCATCCTGATTCAAATAGTCACCCCTACAGTATGTGGACACTTGCCATCTAAAGCCATCACTTTGGTGTTTGATACCTGACCTTGCAAGATTACCATCTCTGCAGACTGATGCATTAGAGGGATTTGGTCATGAATCCCTCTGCATTGCCCACATCCAATCTCACTTGCCAGTCCAATCAACACTGCCCTACAGGTGGGTAGTATCTGATCCTGCTGTTTCACTATGAATCTAAATTTTTTGTGAAGTCCCAGACAGCCTCCTTTTCCCACTCATTATACAGTATCACCAAGATGGCCTTTCAGACAAGGCTATAGCAGAAGCCATTCTCGCTGACATTGGGGGCATCAAGAATGGATGGACTCTATGGTGGCTCCCTATTCCAATCCAATGGAACATGTCTGACTCACCCACCTAGTGCAAAAGCTATCCAGTGTAGGCGCTGAGAGTTGAACCTCCAGAGCATCTGACAGCAGCAACATACCCTCACTTCCATAGCCCCCCACCTCGAACATGTTTGGAATTACTATCAAAATGCCGGCATATGATGGTCTCAGTCTTGGCTCCGCATTCAAGGAGTCCATGCACCATGGTCCATCATCTCTGTCATTCCCTCTTCTCATATTATATTGAATTACATCAGCTCTTTGATCACCTTGTATAACAACATGCACCATCTGGAAGAGGTGCAGCAACAGAAAGGGAAGAATCTTAAGAGAAAACAATTTGTGTCTGCTGGTGTGTTTGCCCATCTTGCTTGTGACCAGCATGCCTAAGTGGGCACCATGCTTTGGGCACTGCTTGCACCTTGGTATGGACACATTTTCAGGAGTGATCCTCTGGCTAAACGTTTGGTGGACAAATTTCAACCCTCATCTTATTTTCAAGTATTATTTGGACATGGCTCATACACATCAAGGTCAGATCTGTCCAAGGCTCATCAATGATGATTCTAACCACCTCAGCACAGGCATTCCATTGTTAACCCAAAGCAATCCTGGCAATGAAAACAATGGCATTGCCAATGGTCACACTCTTTTGCCCCAAATCCTCGATCCCTCCTTGCAAGGTCAACTATGCCACATATGGAAGGTAGGCCATACTAACAAAAGCCCGAAATCAGGTGGTCTCAATTGTGCCATGAGTTCACACCAGGATGGGAAGACCTTTGGAAGCAAGGTGTCATAGCCAGATGGTATCAACACCATAATTTGCTCCACAAGTCAGTCTCCCCTTAAAATCATAATGCAATCTGATGTGCTTCTGCCTAGCTTCTTGTTTCATTGGATGGTGATTCCTCTTACTCAGCAGCCTCTAGACATGTACATGTACATGTACAATTCTTCTAAGCCTTGAGCAGACAAGAACAAGGTTTTGCCACTTGGTATTCCCTCTCATATACTAAAACATCCTGAGTGCTTCCATGGTGGCTGAAATTTCAAGGTCCATCATGAGTGAAGCATCCCTCTCTTCCTTTATTGATTCACCTGAATAGCTTCATGTCACCAAAAATGACCTTGCGCAGGTTGAGGTGATATATGCCCCTCCGAATCACACTGTATTTGAACTTGTCCCACCCTGGTTTGAACTCTCATACAGAGGATATTACAGTAACCAGCACAGGAAGTTCCAGGGGCTTGTTGTTTCATTGCTCCTAGGGCAAAATGGGTGGCCAGGGGTGGTAACAGGCAGTGCCCTGACAAGTTGTCCAACAGAAATATGATCCGGATTGCCATATCCACAATGCTGGAGCGTTTGTCCCCTTAGAGACATGTAGCCCATGCCATTTGTCCCCCCTACGAGTTGTAGCCCATAACCTGTGTTGCCTGTAGGAGATGTGTCACTTGTAACTGTTGCCCGTGAGACATGTAGCACACAGACTCTGTTCCTGATCTAAGAGATGTAGCCCAGAGACCCTGAATTGCTGATTAGAAATCCATCCCTATGTTCTATCTGACTAAGTTCTTGGCACTATACATGACACAGATATCAGTATAACTTGACATGCTCACTGCATTCAGCAAGGAATCAGCACAGACTGAGATGTGGCACATCAGCCTCTGGCTGGATTCCACATGATGCAGGGATGTTGTCCTCAGGGCCCATTGACTCTCCTGCCATCTGTTGTCCATCCCCTCTCTTGTCAAATACTCACACTGATATCTGCCATGGTTGACATGTACTCGGACATAATGCAACAATATGCATTGATATCTGCATGTGTAGGTAACAGGTGCAAGAGATCCATCCAAAAAGCTCTCATCATCATCACAGGAAATCAAACAGAACCTGCAAAACCTTGCTTGCAAAGTGCATGGTACTTCACCATTGTTAGAAAAAGCTTGGGCTGCTTTGGAGATGGGAAATCTAGACCCTCAAGGTCAGAGCATTAGCATATCACAGACTGGGTGAGCCATATGATTCAAATCATGTGTTGGATACAGATTGACAAAAGACCACAATCCTCTACTTACC